GTTGGAAAATGGTTGATGGGAGAAGGTTATAGTTCGGTCTTCTCCGCAAACAGTACAATCGTTGTTTCCTTTACTAATACACTCGGGGCAATTGATTTTTGCAGAGATAAAATTCACCTCATGTAGTTTCCCCTTCTCGCCTTGCTTATGCTGCATAGTCTCGAAGTCAAAGGCGATAATCCTGTACGGTTTTGGCGTCCTCGGAGTAAGAGGTTTGATGTAACAACCTCTCTTTGGGTTATGGAAGCTGAAACATGTGTTGCAGTAACGTTCAGAACATACATGGCCGCTACGCCCATTCCGGTTGTTAAGCTTAGCACTCCAAATTACTCCACATTTCTCGCACTTTTTGGAGTTGTTACAAAAGTTTGAAGTTAGATGATAGTTGTAGCAATCCTCATTATTAAATTCCTTAGAACAATCAGAGCAGTTTTTGAAGTAATTGTCTATTTGTTGGCATGGGTAGTTGGGTCCAATCCTGGAGCAGTTCTGACACTTTGCTTTGCAGGAGGTAGCGTGGTCATTTTGTCTGTGGTACACCTTCTCGCAGGCCAGGCAATATGGCTTACCGAATAGATCACCTGCCCTCCGTACTCCATCAAAATGGTTATTATTAAAATAAAGAAGAATTGGAGTAGTATAATTTTCAATCCCATATTTAAAAATAGGTTTCTCATCCAATTCTCCAAAAATAAAAACTTTAAACAGGCCTTCGTTCCTTGAATTCCAATGATCCACTACTTTAGGCACCCAATCCATTGCATTATAGGTAGATTGATCAAGAGGAGCTCCCACATTTTCCATTAGATTCTTAGTGTCCTGTTCAAGTCGTCGAGTGCCTTTTCTGTTGTGTATGTAGTCATAAAATTTACTTCTAGACCAGGAGCAGATTGAATAAACAAAAGAAGCCATTAGGGCATGAAATAGGCAAAAGTTGTCGGAATTCCGGATCTTGATCAAAGCTTTGTCGCTGATCCGACGAGTAGATTTGCCGCCGCTACCTTGAATAGTTCGTGTTGTAGCTAAATTCTTCTTATCTACGGTAGTTACGGAGACGGTGAAGGGTTCGCCCCAGATCATTCCCTGATCCTGTTTCTTTGATTGGGCAACCTTGAGAAATTGATTAAGAATGGAATCCACCGTGTTGGGGGTAATTTCACGGATTGGGATCCAAACATCGGTTTCCAATAATTGACTGCTAATGGTACAGCCAAGTTGATCAGGATCAATTCGATTATCCTGACTAGTTTGTAGTGCCTGATCAATACATTTTTGGAAAAGTTCCCTTAGCAAGCCCTCTGGTTCATCAGGTAGACCAGATATTAAAAACTTTGTTGAAATTTTGGTAAGGTTAAATTTCCTGGTGATTTTGGTCTCGTCCCCTAAATATTTTAAAAAATCACCTCCGCCTGATTGCAAATCAAGTAAATTGTTGATCAGGAACATCTTCGACTTCTTTGATGGTGGAGGTGACATTGTTCAATAATAAAATAAAAATGAAACCAAAAATAAGAAGTAATTCAAATGTAATAAAATTGTTGAAATTTTTCAAGAATGAGAGCGAAAATACAAAATCCTCTACTTTTAAGGATCCCCAAAATGATTGATGTTTGTCAGAATAGGAATCTTGGTGAAATTATGAAAAAAGAAAATTTTTATGTAATACAATCTTTTATTTCCAGTCGGGAAGAGGAGTTAAAGAAATTTGCATAAAAAGGGAAAAGGGTAAAAGTATTTCGTAATACTTTTAAACTCAGCATATACCAGTCGGGAAGAAAAGGAAAAGCAAAAGAATTTTAAAAGTCGACTAAAAGAAATTTGCATAATTTTAACAAAGGAAAAAGGAATTTTAAGGTTTAGAGGGAAATTTAGAGGGAAAATATATTGAAAAAGAAGGGAATTTTGAGAAAATATTGTTTAGTGTAATTGCTGAGACGACGAGTAGTTGCTGTATTTTTTTAAATTTTAATTTAATTGTTTATTTTATTTTAATTTAGTTCCATTAATTTTCTATTTTTACAGTAATTTTTATTAATTTTGGGTAATTAACAGAGGGAGGGTAATTATTACTTACTCAAATTTATTTTAATAATTTAATTTATTTCCATTACTTTTTAATTTCCATTTATTTATTTATTTTTCTCTTTTTTATTACAGTATTTTAATAATTTACACCCGCTTTTTATTTTCAAGAAGAAAAACCTTTAAATTATGACAAAAGAAATGTTGCGTAATCTTTTGGGAAGAAAAGAGGTCTGCGGGAAATTTACATAATTTAGCAAAAGTCTATAGGTTTTGGTTAGTGGGAGTGTGGGGGAAGAAGAAAGAAAAGCTTCAATAGCTTTTGGTTGGGAGGGGTGGGTGAGGGAAAGGAAGGGAAAGCTTCAAAAGCTTTAAGTTTGGGCTGGGTACCTTTTATTAGAGAGGGGTGGGTGGGGAAGAAGAGTCTCAAAACCTTTTGGTGGGGAAAGGGCCGGGAGGGAAATGGCTTCACACCTTTTGATTGATTAACTTGAGTGATTTTTGACAGGCGACACATACGCCGGTTTAACTACTAGCAATACATATACAAAATTAGCCTTTGATTCAAAAATTGAATAGAAGTGGATAAAATTTTCTCGTTTCTCTACGTTAACCAAAATATTCTTTGTCAATATCTAAAATTTTGTTATGACATCGTAAATCAAAAACATTTACTTTAGGCCCCCCCCCACACACACACTTATTCACCACTAGGGTTGTCGGTCCTGGACCGACCCGAAGGACCGAGGATTTTTCAGTTCTGTTTTTCGGTTCGGTTTCGGATATCCGAAGAATTTACAGGAACCGACAACCTTTTCATCACAATTAATCCCCAACACCCCAACACTTAGTCGCAAACTACAAACATGTCTATGTTACTGCGTAAAAAACAAAGCAACCGGTTTCGCCTCCATCGGCTATTTTTAGAGCTCGTGTTAGTTAATATTAGGAAATAATGAAAATAAAAACGCGTTAAAGTTAATCTTAGATATTTATCAGACTTCACCACATTTAATCCCCAACACCTTTTTGCTTAGCCAAGGCTTTAACGAAAATCGATAGAAACAACATCAAGATTCTCTTGAGATTTTTTGTTCTGTTGACAGGGAGTCCTCTACAGGGAGTCCGTTTTAATAGGGAGTTTGTTTTAAATAGAGGACCTAAAATTTCTCTCTCCATATCCCTCTTTCAATCAAAATAAATAAAAGTACTCCCACCTCTTCTTCTTTTGACATTTGCTTTTCTCCTCCATCTTCCTTTTCGATTTCACCTCCATCTTGGTTTCCACTTGCTTTGAACACAAAATCATTACTTTTTTGATGATTAGCATTTATTGCCAACATTTTGTTGTTGTTGTTATGTGTTGTTGCTGTCAAGGATTGAAATTTAGGAGTTGGATTAAAATGAAGTGAATTGTTGTTGTGTTGGATACGATGAACATTTGGACCTCCAAAGGATGATGAGACAGCAGGACGGGATGAAGACAAACCTGAATTTTTAAGATTTGGTTGGTTGTGAAAGCAACCTAATAGAGATCGGTATTTTTGAATAGTCTGGGCCTATTCCTGAACTCTGGGGTTTGATTTATTAACCCGGACCGGATCCTGGGGTCCAGGAAAAACCCAGGCCTTAGTCCAGACCCAGACCAATTATAATCCCCAAAACATGTGTTGGTGGTGGGCTTTCGCTTCTGCAAATTTATTAATTCTTTCACTTGCGCGTTCCATCTACCGCGCTTTGTTTCTGTTTCGACTCCCCAGCTTTCCAAAATGCGATCTCGAGGGGGTATAAGGCAAGGATGGGGAATGGGTTACCCGGAACCCGAACACTTGTGTAATATTTTGAGTCTCAAAGGTGTACACATAAATGAGGCTCTATTGTAACGGAAAAAATTTTCTCCAAATCTTTAACCCTTAAAGCCCTTAAAATTTCCCTTACCAGCAGCACTGCTAGTAAGAGGAGAAGCAACAACGCCTTCCAGCATTGCCATAAACAAGAAGAACACAACAGACAAATTCAAAGAGGCCGCCACAAAATTTTCCAGTGGTAGATGACACAACATCTATAAAGAAAAAATAAAATATAGACAAATTTAAAATTAAAAAAAATTTTTTAAACAATTTAAAGAAAGAAAAAAATTTAAATAAAAAATTTATTAAGAGGGAAGGGCAATTGAAAAATTATGATAGAAAATCGATTAAATCAAGACTGAAGGGGCTTGTGATACGTCTATAGAAAATTTTAAATTTCTCTAAAGATCAAATTCAAAAATATAAAATTAAAAAAAAAATTTAAAAAATTTTTTTGGTTAAGTGGGTTAGTTTTGAGTTAAGGTCGACGGTTCGAACCCTTTGAGGGTAAAAACTTTTTTTATTGAATTATTAAATGAATTTTGGCCAATTTTAAGACCTCAGTTTAACTACAAAAAATATTTTTGTCTCAAAAACCACAAAAATGGCCTAACCCAAACCAAATGCTTATTAAGAGGGGACTCTCAAACTGTAATCTCTACAAATTCAAGTCTAAAAGAACCCTCCAAAATCACCCAAAATTAAAAAATAAACCTTAAAAAATCAGAATTTATTGCCAATCCATCACCCTTCACATTCCAAACTCGAAGTCACATTCATCCAATTTTTGTTTGTTGTTTTAGTCGAGTCAATCACACACAAACATATTGCATTAAATTAAAAAGAAGCTAAAATATTCTGTAAAAACAAAACAAAAAATTGAAATATGAAAAATTAAAAAAATATTTTTAAGTTTAAAACAGTAAAAAAAATTAAGCAGATAAAAAATTCAATTTTTTATTCAACAAAAAAAATTTTTCTAAAGGCAAGAAATCATTTGTTTAAAATTAAAATATAAATTAATTCATAAATTACTCATTTTTAATTTTTCAAGTCCAAAAAAATAATTTAAAAAAGGCAAGGGTTTTTAAGGCATCAACTAACTAGAATTACTTAAGTATTTCATAAAAACCGAAAATCCACGCAGAATCTTCTCTCAATTTCCCTCTCCTCGTCAATAATTTTTGCCAAGAATAGCCAAATTTGATTTAATTGAAGGATCCAATTTAGCAAGCCATTCACCGACGTTGAACTAAATAGAAGGAAAAAAATTTTTTGATTCTAAGAGGATGTCCGCAAAATATTTACGAACAAAATTTTTTTGGAGATATTTAAATGTACAACAGCTTTCCCAACTCCAGGAAGGTTCAAAAAGTTTAGGAAGCTGCTTAAAATCCCAGGAAGATGTGTAAAGTTCAGACCTAAAAGTAGGAGGGTTCCTAAAATAAATGAAGGTTCCTGGAGTTAAAAAAAGTTCCTGAAATCCATGAATTAACACCCCAGACTCGACCCTATCTCCAAATTCCTGACCAAGAAAAAGTTGGTTGGTTAGCTAGATGGGAAAATGGTGGTCTTTCCATATGGAAGAATTTGGGGGTTTTATCTTCCCAGTCCATATTAAAAAATAAAATTAAGAATCCAAATCAAGGGTCATTTCTTGTTTTATAAAAATTTTGGAAGGAGGGAACTTTGGGTGAAAGAATTTCCTCCAAGAAAAGAAAAAAAACCTTCTCGCCAATATCATCAAACATTTCCAATAAAGTCTCAACATAAGCCTGTTGCGCTTCTTCCTTAGATTTTCCTTCAACTGCTTTCCAAGCATCCCTTTAAAATTAAAAGTTAAAAATTCAGAGTAAAAATTAAAAAACGCAAATATAAGGTTTTGTCGCAAAAACAATAAACGAAAATCGGCCCTTGTTAACATCAGAAACATAAATTAGGGACGACTTTTGGAGTCCCCATAGTCGAATCATTAAATGCGAACCCCCAAAAAGTCTCATCCCCAAATTTTGTGTAGTCATTTCTGAGATGACGTGTCAAATAAATTAACAGACTAGACACTTAAAGGGTTTTCTTCAAAAAAAATTGGCGAAAAGAAGACAACAAGTGGGTCAAAAAGCGAAGGGTTTCACTGTCTCACTGTCCCAATTCACTGTCTCATTGTCAGCCCTACGATATGATTTTTAGCTATTACCCAACCCAATCGCCGACAGTTAACTCATTGACATCCCCTTTACCCAAAAAAAAGCTTTCCCGATTGTCGAGGACCAGCTCTGGTTAAATATTAGGCAAGACACTTGTCAATTAGGTATTTGACACGCCACATCAGAAATATTAGATAACAGACCCAAAGAATGCCCAAAAAACGAATTTTTTCCCTAAACCCCCCCCCCCCCTCATTTAAATTAAAATAAAAAAACCATTTCTTCCGTTCAACAAGACTAAAAATTCCAGGCCTCTCAGTGTTAACATTTCCAATTGTAGCTTGCTTGAACAACGAGTAGAATTTAAGTTTTTGGTCGTTTGAAGTTTGTAGAGGACCTTTTTTTAGAAAAATTTAAAAAATTCTTTAAAATTTAATGAAAACCTTCTTTAGGCAATTTTTGAACAATATCAACTGCTGCTTGAAATTTTTCTTCGAGAGACATTTTTTAGAAATTATTTAAATAAAGAAAAGAATTTTTTTATTTAAAATTAATCTGAAAAAAATAAAAATAAAAATTATTGTAAGTAATTATAAAATGAAAAATAAATGAAAATTGCGGACAAAAATTGCGAAAAATAAGAATTGCGGAATAGAGTTGCGGACATAAAAGTTGCGTATAAAAAATTACGGATTTTTTGTTGCGGACATAGAGTTGCGGACAAAAAGTAGCGAACTTTTATTCCCGCAACCAAAAAGAGGTGGAATATTTTTAATAAAAATGGAACGATTACATGTAAAGAAATTGATATATGTATAGATAATTGGGGAGAAATTATAAAAAGATTGAGGAGAAATAAATTAATAGAAGACAGAAATTAAGATAAATTATCGGCGAAAATCAATTTTGATAAATTAATATTTTTCGGTTGTAATAAAATAATTTCAGCAAAAAAAATTTCGTCACGAAAAACAAAAAAAAATTTTGAATAAAAAAAATATGTAAATTAATAACATTACGCCAAGGATTGATAAACTTTAAAAATGGACAGTTGAGCGCTAAAAATTGACGTGTCCGGACAAAATATCGAATCGTTAAAATATGGAATAGGCTAAAAAAGGGTTAAAATCTCGAATCGGGTAAAAATGGGTTAAAATCGCGAATAGGCTAAAAAGGGGTCAAAATGTGGAATCGTTAAAATATGGAATGGTTAAAATCGCGAATAGGCTAAAAAGGGGTTAAAATACCGAATCGTTAAAATATCGAATTGATAAAATGTCGACACGGCCAAAATGGGTCAAAATGTCGAATTTTTTTTAAAAATGGCGCCAAAACCTAAAATCCGGGCGTTACCGTAATACCGACGGTATTTTTCGGTATTCCGTTTCGGTAGTACGGTACGGAATGCCGACCGATAAAATTTAAAAGCTGATCGGTATTTTTCGGTATTCCGTACCGTATACGGTAAGGTACAAAATTTAGGTCTTAACTAAAAACTAGTGACGCTACTCTAATTTTTCCGTATCGGGATCCTGTTGTGTTTTCCGGATCCGTACGATCATGCCGGACCGGATCCGGTCGATTATGCTTGATTTAACCGGTCCGGTTTTACTCCGTAAAATACACTGAACTCAGGAGAAAAGATTACGCCGGACTAAGACTTACCAAACTTTTCAACCAACTTATCAGCAGTAAGTTGATAGGTTGATAAAATTATCAACAATCAACGTATGGCACTCATCTGAACCTTTTTTAAAGGAATTCGACATTTTGACCCATTTTGGCCGTGTCGACATTTTATCAATTCGATATTTTGACGATTCCATATTTTAACCCTTTTTTACCCGATTCGATATTTTAACCATTCCATATTTTAAAGATTCGGTATTTTAACCCCTTTTTAGCCTATTCGCGATTTTAACCATTCCATATTTTAACGATTCCATATTTTGTACCGGAGCCAAAATTGAACGTCGTTTGTTTCTGTAATATTTTAGTCTCTCTCAATTTTCTGCACTCTCTAAACATAAAACAAATAAACAATTATTATACCTTTCGGAAAACATTTTTTCCGGAATTCTGAGACAAGCATAAAACGAGAGAGACAATATACGGAATATATATTTTTATGTATGTAGTATACTTTCCGGAAAATATGTAGTAGAGAAATATTTCCGGAATTAATTTTCCGGAAATACAAAAGAGAGAGTGTATAACTCTGCACATATAAATGAGAGAGACAAAAAACGGAAAAGACATCTATTAATGTATTTACATAATATACTTTCCGGAACAGTTGAAAGAATATTTTCCGGAATTTTCAGACCAGCATAAAATGATAGAGTGTAAAAATGAGAGAGAAAAAATACGGAATATACCTATGTATATTTTTATGTATGTAGTATACTTTCCGGAAAATATGTAGTAGAGAAATATTTCCGGAGGAAATACAAAAGAGAGAGTGTATAACTCTGCACATATAAATGAGAGAGACAAAAAACGGAAAAGAGACTATTAATGTATTCGATATACTTTCCGGAAAGATGAAAGAATATTTTGCGGAATTTTCAGACAAGCATAAAATGATAGTGTAGAAATAAGAGATATAACTAGTATACTTTCCGGAAAATATGGAGAAGAAAAATATTTTCCGGAATTATATTTTCCGGAAATATGTACATAGACTCTGCACATATAAATGAGAGAGATAAAAACGGAAAAGACATCAGAACTTCCGGATTAATCCGGTCCGGTTTAACCTATTAATATACATATTTAATATACTTTCCGGAACAGTTGAGAGAATATTTTCCGGAATTTTTAGACAAGCATAAAATGATAGAGTGTAAAAATAAGAGAGACAAAATACGGAATAGACATTTATTTTTTGCACTTAATAATATAACATCCGGAAAATTATTTAAAAATATATTTTTAATTTAAAGGGCAAAAGTGTTAGAGACGGAGAAAATTTTTTTTTATTTTTCTCTAATTAACCTTAAATAAATTGTTACATCAGTTTTTTGGCATTTGACTGATGTAATAATAAAAACCGCGAATTTAAACAAAAGACTGATGCAACTTTAAACATTTTTTAAAATTGAAAATTTTTTAAAATTTTTTTCATTTTATTAACCAGAAAATTAAATTTAAAAAATTAAATCTCAAAAAATAATTTTCCGGAAAAAATTTACGCAACACGGTCTTCTTGGTTTAATATAGGGTTGAATCCCGAATGCTCGGGGGCAGGTGTGTTTTGTATACAGGGTTTCCATATTGTTTCAAGGAGGGGTTCGGGTCACAGAGAAGAATATGCTTGGGCTTAAGGGCGGGTTTCGGGTCAGGGTACAGGGTCTCAGGACACACCTCTAATTAAGGGCGAAGATTCATACGCTAAGGGAAAATTTTATTTTATTTATAGCGGTATTTATTGTTATTAGAAATTTTTTTGGAGAGTCTTAATTGAAAGAAAAAATTCAAAAATTATGTACAGAAATAAAAACGGCTTAATAAAGTTAAAAAAAAGCATAACTAAAAGTTGAAAAATAATCAAAAGTGAAATTTTTGAAGAGCTTTAATGACATCCTTATGTCATTAGAAAATCAAGGTAATAAAAAATATTTAAAAAAAATTTAAGGTCAAACATGTCTAAACACCTCACACTCTCTGGGAGCAAATTTATCCGGATCTGATATCTTGGAGGTGATATGTAACAAAGAGGTAAGGTTGGGGGCATCTGGAAGATCTCCCCAAATATCCCCGGATCGAAATGAAATTTTCTGGATATTCGAATTTTATTCGGTCTCAAGATCCGCCAAATTACAGCTTGAAGGTGTGAATCGAATTCAAGCATGAGGGCAACTTTCCAAAAAATTTTGTCGTTAATTTTAAAAAATTCGGTTTTGGCCTACTTGGAAGAAGCTGAAACAATTTTCTCCAAAAAAATTTTTTTAATTTAATTTTTTAAATTATTTTTTAAATAAAAATCAGCATGACGATTATACACATCTAGACATTCTTTCAAAAAAAATTTAAAAAAAAAGTTGCACTTTTTAGCTATATTTTCCACATAGTCTAAAAGGACAGATTCAAAGCTTTATAAGGCTAGCGCGACAATGGGAAGGGCAAGTAGTCAAAAAGACTGTTTACTACTATTAAAATAACCATTTCATTGACATTAAGATTACTAAATTTTGTAAAGCATATAGCCATTTAATTCCTAAAGCTATGCTGTAGGCGGTGTAATGGATAACCCGTCAGTCCGACCTACTGAAGATGCTGGTTCGCTCCCACTGGATTTGGAGGGATTAAGAGGATTTGAGAGAAAGGGATCGGGTCTTGAGTCGAGAAAATTACGTTTCTCGGGTGGATTAGTAAGAGATTAGGAAGGATCCTCTCAAGCCTCTTTATCGGTAGATTAGGGGGCAAGGGTTTGTAGGGGTCTCAGGGGATTTGGAGAGGTCTCAGGGGTTTTGGAGGGGTCTCAGGGGTTTTAGAGGGGTCTCAGGGGTTTGTAGGGGTCTCAGGGGTTTTGTAGGGGTCTCAGGGTTTTGTAGGGGTCTCAGGGGTCTCAGGGGTTTTGTAGGAGTCTCAGGGGTTTTGGAGGGGTCTCAGGTCCAAACGTCCCGGCATAGGATTTCTAGTACCTGAGACATCCCTTAACTACAAGAGAGCTAGTGACTGTAATTAATTTTCCTTTACAGGAAAACCAAAAAATGGCAACAAATATTAGCAATAATAAATTGCCTTTTCCCCAAACTTTGGTGATAGTGTTAATTGTTGTAATTAATTACAATGAAGTTAAAGGAATGATAAATGCTGCTGTTGGAAATACTAAAAATATGGGTAAGTATAGAAAAAAATTTCTTAACTAACAAGGCTAAATCAACCAATATTATAGGGTTAAGGGGATTTGGTTATTGTTTTTATATAGTACAGGGTCTGTGCTATGCACTTGCAAAAAATACTAGCGGCCCATGTCTCCAAAAATTTTTCGTGACAGCCGATCAAAAGTAGGGCTTCATGCTTATGTAGTTCGGCTAAGATGTACTTTCCGGGGTTGATTGGCCAAGTTATATGTATTCGAACTAAAACCCCGAACCGAAAACCACAAAGGGATAACACGAACCAAAACCAACGGGTTAAAACCGGCATCCCTGTATATGAGCTGGGCCGATATAGCGAAGAATTAACTCTCTAAATACACCCTCGGGGTAAAAAAGATCTTTATCCCCTAAAATATTTTCTCTCTAGTTCCATCCCCAATTACCAACAACATCAACAACATTTCTGGATTTGACAACAAAAAGTTAAACAAGCCTTCAATGGTTTCCTTCAATAACCACCCAAAGTCAACCCCTCAAAAATACAAAATTTCAAAAACAAAAGCAACCACTTCTGACAATCATCATAAAATTGCTGCTAGTCCATCTGTCGATTCCCCTACTATTGAACACGAAACGGTTATTAATCCTCAAGAGGAAATCGGAATCAAAAATGAAAAAATTATTGGAGGAAATGGTTCAATAAATCATCACCAAATGGAGGTTCAAGCTGTTGGTAAGAAAAAAGAGAGTTAAGAGATACTAAAACCTCTAGTTAAGAAACATTCTTTAAAGCTTGTTTGGCCATTAAGCGGAGGGAGATGCCTAAACGAAACCCCTTCTAGTTAAGAGAACTTCAGTAAAAGCGTACCTCATATAAAATACACCCATATATGTAAGATACACCCCCATTTAAGAGACGTCCTTGAAAAAGTTTACTGGTAAATGGATACAGGGAGACAATAAAAGATACCGTACCTCGATAAAAGATACCTCCAATACTAGATACCCTCTATTAAAAAGACGTTCCTGAAAAGTTTGGTTGGGTATTGTCCAAGGGATCCGCCTAAGCGATACCCTCTATTTAAGAAACACCTCAGTACAATCTACCTCACAATAAGATACCCCAATACTATATACACCTCTAGTTAAGAGACTTTATTGAAAAAAATTGGCTGGGTATTGTCCAAGGGATTTGCCTAAGAGAAACCTCTATATAAGAAACGCCTCATTATAAGGTATAATATTTGACCCTACGGGGATAGGTTATAGCGGGGTCTACAAGTCAATTTTTAGAACAATCAAAAGAGCAAGAAGAAAATAATGTGAACGGGTCTACTAATGAACAAATTGAAAAACAAGACGAGGAAAAAGTAAAGGAAAACAAATTTTATTCAAAATTAGTTGAAGAAATTAATTGGAATTTGGGCTATAAACAGCCGACTGATCAAAAGGTTTGAGGGGAACTTTAAAAAAGATCGGGCTGAGTTTGGTGTCATTCAAGTCAGCTTGAGGAGCTCTTTCGAATGAGATATTGCTTGCATATTTGAATTTTGTCTCAAGAGATGAACTTAACCCACCCATGGGGTTACAATAATTGGGGGCCTATATCTCCGTCCATAGCCAGAGACTGGTACCGCCGACTCAGTTCCTAGGGCAGGTATCGATCGTGATAGAAAGCTGGATCTCCAATTTTCTTCCTTACAATGAAATGCTTTACCCGTGGCGCTGCTTCCACCTTCTCTTTCGATAGATCCCCCTCGTCTAGATAAAGATCCCCCTATAGATCCCTCTCGTTTTAAATGATAGCCAGCTGAATCTCCTCCTTTCTTCCTTACAATAAAAATTAATTTTCAACAGAAAAAAGTAATTCAAACTGTGGCAAATTTGTTGGTGCCCTATGTGGAAAAGTTTTCTCGCGTTGAAGAAAAAGTTGTCTATGCTTATGCTGCTGGAAGTATGATGGTTAAAGCATTAACTACAGCTAGACGAATTAATAAATATAAAGAAATGGTTGAAAATGTTGAAGAAAAAATGTTAAAAATTAAAGAAGAGAAGGGAAGGGTGATGATGGAAATGAATAAAAATGGACACGAAGAAGGAACAATAGTTGAAGAAGGAGAAAGGGTGGAAGAAGAAGAAGAGGAAGAAAAGGTAGGAAAGTGAGAGAGAGAAGTGGGCAGATATCAGATTCAGACCTGAGCTGGTTGGGTACTTAATTTCGTAGCACTTCTCGGGCTATTTTTTGGGCCCGAAAAATGGTAACGATCTCTTCGACATAGATTTCATATGGAAGGCATTCTATCTGTCTTCCATGGCTTCTAAATAGAGGATGATGATGTATTTGACGAGGTCTTAAGGGATATGTGAGATAAAGGAAGTCTGACCATTATGAGCCTTTTGATGAAAAAAATTATTTCTAAAGAAGTCTGACCATTATGAGCCCCTTGAGGAAAATTTTAGTTCGAAGAAAGTCTGACCATTATGGTCCTTTTGGGGAAAGAAATATATTTCAGAAAGCAGCTTTGACTCCGATCCAGACTTAAAAATTCTGACAAATATAGACGCTGATCACGATTTTTTTAATTTTAGGAAAAGATTAACAAAGAGATTTCCCAATTGTTTGTGGAAGCTGAAAAATTGAAAAATTTATTTAACCCACGAGTATATGTTGAAGAAATTCCAGTGGAAATGAATGTTAATTATCAAATTGGAATGATTAAATCTCATTCTACTCCATTCTTTCGGGTGATGAGTGAAATTGAATCCAAATTTATTAATGAAGATGATGAAGGAGGGGAGAGAGTGGTAATTGAAGGAATGAAGAATGAATTGATGGAAGCTGAAAGGGGTGAGTGGGAGAGTGTGAGAGGAAAAATAGAAAAACTTCATTAATAAATGCCTCCAGTATAAGAGACCTCTATATAAGAGACGTTTTCAATAGCCACTGGACTGGAGAGCCTATCAAGTGACACCTCTATTTAGGGAACACCCTTCAGTACAATCGTACCACGATATAAGATAACTCCAATATAAGATACTTCCAATATAAGATACCTTCCATACAATAGACACCTTTATATAAGAGACCCCTTTCTCAAAATTTTTTAGGCCACTGGACGGAAGAGCCTGCTCAAGTGATACCCTCAATTTAATAAACCTCCCATTATAAGCGATACCTTCTATCGAAACGATACCCTCTATTTTATAAACCTCCCATCATAAGAGACAATTTTTAAGCTTAAAAGGGGTCTCTTATAGCGAAGTTAGGACTAATAAAAGAATAAAAAAAAATTTTTTCTAGTGGTGATCATTACTGGAAACATTTTGAATTTCATTAATGACCTCCGCCATAATATTTGAAGAGTCTCAATTTCAAAGAATTTTTTAAAAAACGAAAATTAAATGAATGGAAGGAACAAAAAGATGAATTATAAAAATTAAATTTTTTTTTTAAATTTTTAAAAAAATTGTGTTCCTTTTTCTTTATTATTGTAGCAATATTTATTTTTAAATAAATATTAAGTAGCAAAATTTAAATTAATTTTTAAAATTATTTGTATTTGTTTTTATTTTGAGGGGGATTTTTGAAGATTACTTTTGTTAATCAAAAAAAATTTTTTTCCTGAGTTATCAAAATTTTATCATAAAGAAATTTCAAGGAGGGTGGCCAGGAGGGTGGTCAGGGGGGGAGTGGTCAGGGGGGTGGCAGGGGGGGGGTGGCAGGGGGGGGGGGTGGCGGTAAATTTCAATTCGATTTTTAAAATCCTAGTTTCGAACTATCTCTGATGTGAGGGGAAATGAGAGAAGAAAAGAAGAAAAATGAAGAGAGGAAGTAATGTGAAGATAAGAAGAATAGATGATGAAAAGATGAAAAAAAAGACAAAAGTGATGGAAGAAAAATGAAGAGAGAAAGGGATTAAACTAAGTAACAACTTATTTAGCAACTTATTTAACATTATGCTTCGCTGACATTCTTAAGATCAAAAATCAAATCTCTCCTATACAGTCCGACCTTCAAGATAGGATAGGCTGAAAAAACTCATCTTAAATGAGGTGTATCTTAAATAGAGGGTACTTTTAATAGAGATCCCTCGCCCAGTGGATAATGAAGTTTAAAACGTATATCCGGTAAAATATAAGTGTGTGTCTAGTATTGGGAGTAATCTGCAGTTTCGTCAGAATCAGTTTCGTCAGTAAAGCTCTTTTTTTGAAAATACTACAGGAATTCAGAGATATAGAAGATTATTGATAATTAAGGTTGGGGGCTACTAATAATCCCACGATATCCTTTACAACTCCCATTATTACCTCGAAAGCCTGCTTAATCCTCCAAAATGAAAATAAACCCATCATCGGGTTGGATAGTGGCACAGTCGGGTGTGCTTCGGTTTGGGCCCTTTGTATGATGGTTCTAATACATACATCTCCCATCCAATAAATTTTTCCACAGCATGGACATAATCTAATATGTTCCACTAACAAATAAGTAATCAACCAAACTTTCAAGAACGTCTCTTAGATGTGTATCTTATATTGGAGGTACATCTTAAAACGACGTGAATCGAGCATTATATCAGGACGCTAGATATTAAAACTAAAAAGGGCAACAAAATTTTTATCGTAATCCCTCTAAAATAAATTTCAATATCACACGTCTTGCATCATATCACCTGTCTACTACATATTTTTGTACTTTCAAAAAAAAATAAAAATCTTTTTAAAAAATAGCGGCATTGCACTCTTATATAAAAATAAAAATAAACATGATATAGTCTTCACGTGAAAAATTTTTAAAAATAAAAAAAAAGATGCCACTTTTACGGTGCATTACAGTAATCTAAATAAAAATCTTGACATTTAAGGGCATTTCCAAATTTTTAAAAAATGATAGGCACCTTGTCAAGAAGCTCAATATCATACTTTAAAATTAAAAAGAATGATGCAACAACAAAAATTTGCAATATAAAATAGCAAGGTAAAGCCCATACTAATCAAATCATTTAATCAGTCTAAAACAAAATCCTCTAAAAAACTCGAAAATTCATATATACTCTCCAAATATCGAACTTCGACCTCACAAATTTAAAAATCGCATGTATGTATATAATAAAATGAAGGGGTATAGGAATATTGCTTAGGCAGCGGGGTTGTGCAGTTTTATTCTTTAAAAACAGTTTTAACTAGGGACTGATCTGGGAATGTCAGGTCTGGAAGGACCTAACAATTCCTGGGGCCTAGCTGTATTGTATACAGCAGAGATCGCGCCGGCCCGATTCACGATTCCCGAAAATCGGGAATTTGATTTTCTGTCGGCGCGTCCCCTGGTATACAGCCTGCCTGCTACTATACTCAACTGTATTTACGTTCTCAAAAAAATAATATTTTTTAAGGATGACTATTAAAAAAATTTTAATATTTTTAACTATCATCATTATTCAAATAATAAACAAAACAACTTCATCCCCTTTATTAACATCCCCATCTTCTGCTACTAAAATTTCCGCTTCTAACTTCCACCCCGCAAACCCCCTTCTTCCTAACCCCTCTTCAAAAATACACACAAAATCATTTTCCCCCTCATTAAATTGTCCAATCGAAATTAAAAATTTTAATAAAAAGCATTATGGAATTTTAGAAAAGAAAAATAACAAAAAATTTACTGTTAAAGCTAGCGAGAAAAATAATCCAAGAGTTGAAGAATATGATTCGGTAAGAGAAAAAGCGAATAATCAAACTACAGTGGAAATACATTATAAGTCAAAAGGAGCAACCCTCTAAGCGATACCCTCTATTTAAGAAACCCTCATTATAAAATAAAAATTTTTAAGCATCGAGGGGCTTCAAAAATTGGGCTACTTCTGGGCTGTATTCACCAAGATACGGTATCAAAGGGTGGCCTATTTAATGAAAGCATAAAAGAAACCCTCAAGAAACCCGCTCTATTTAAGAAACCCTCATTATAAAGTAAGATCTTTTAAGCATCGAAGGGGTATCTTAACGAGACTGGGCTGTATTTATCAAGATAAGGAGGCCAAAGGGTGGCCTATTTAATGAAACCATCAAAGAAACCCTCAAGAAACCCGCTTTATTTAAGAAACCCTCATTATAAGGTAAGATTTTTTAAGCAACGAAGGGGTATCTTAACGAGACTGGGCTGTATTTATCAAGATAAGGTGGCCAAAGGGTGACCTAAGTGATACTCTCTTTTTAAGAAACCCTCAATATAAGGTAGGATTTTTTTCACCCCCAACGGAGTATCTTATAATGAGCCCCGAATAGTCAATATTAAATATTTTACATAATTTTTAAACATAAATGATTCAGGATGAATGGGAGCCTTATCAAAAATATGAATATATCCCAAATGATCAGCTTCCTAATCGAACAGATTTTGAAAATAAATTAGCAAGAATTGAGGAACGTCAAACAAACGGGAAAAAGGAAAAGAAAAGAGCCCCCAAAATAGATTTATTTGAGAACAATGAGTGGGAAAACAGGGAAGCTTTTTACAATTATTATTATGAAATTGATGAAAAAAATAAAAAAGAATCAAATTTAATATTAGTTGCAAAATTAATAAAGAATAGATATCCAAATGTTGATGATGGAGACAGGAAAACACCTTTTAAACAAATGGGGGTAAGTAGAAAAACCCCGTCCCCGACATATGTACAATGGGCTGTGTTATCCACCTTAATCCTCCGATATAGTTCACTGGCCAATAACGCATTGTTCGAACGAATTTTTCACATTTAAACCGACCCGAACCCCGCCCCGAAAAAAGTAAAAACCCCGTCCCCAACATACCAGCCCCCAAGCGTTCGGGGTCAAAGCCTTGTTCGGACAAGGTGTTATCCAAAATCCAATTATCGGACAATTTTTCTTTTTCGATCCGAAATCCTAACCGACTACGGCTCTCTCTTAGATAGATAACTGAGGATTTGATCAATTAAAATTTTTTTTTAAATTTACAAAATCAAAATTAAAAAAAAATTCGAAAATCATTTCTCCTCTAAAGATAAACCAACGAAGAGAAGCAGTAGATTTAAAACTTTTATTGGATGAGTGTGATCGAATAATTGAATTCTGGCCATTTTTGTGTATTGCAGAAGAACAATTAAGGGAAAAACGAGAAAATGAAGAGTGGAAATATCAACGAAAATTGGGGCAAATTAAATTTGAATTAATGGGAATTTTGGATATTGAAGAGGGGAAGGGACTTGATTTAATTGAAATTTTAAGAATAAAAAAACATAATTTGAGTAAAATGGATAAATTAATTAATGGATTATCTCTAAGTACCATGAGAAATGAAGCTAACGAAATAAAAGAACGTGTAATTAGAGCTAAACAATGTAAGAGAAAAAATATATTAAAATCAGACTCTATTATAAGATAGTCGGCCTGGAAATGAGTCGGGCCTGGAAATGACCTCGGGAGTCAGGAGGCCAAAAACGCGGGAAAATTTCCCGATTCGGGAGTAGGGATACCCGAGCATCACTATTATAATGAGGGGTACCTTAAATAGAAGGGTATCGCCCCACCCCAACCAACCCAAGTTTGAGCCAGCCACCACTATAAGATAATCATTTCGGGCTGAAAAATATAAAAAACCGTACCTTATAGAGGGGATTCTGAAATAGAGCATCGCTTGAGCAGCTCCCCCCAACCCCTAATCATCCAAATTTTTAAAAACACATCATAAATCGAATTGATCTTGTATTGAGGTTATCATAAAGTAAGTCCACCTATTGTTTTTAAATTTATCTCGCAGTAATCGAACAAGCAACATACATGCTCGTACATGTAAACAGCAACATGTTGGTGTTTAATGATGAAGAAAAAAAGGATGAGGATTTTAAGGATGAAGATGCAAAAAATGGGGAAGTTAAGGAAGGGAATAAAGAGAAGGTTGAGGTAAAGGAAGAAGGTGTTAATTACCAAAAGAATGAAGATTATAAAGAAAAATTTGATGGCGAAGAAAAGGGAGTGCTGAATGAAGAATTGAAGGCGGAAGAAAAAGAAGAATTGAAGGGAGAAAAGGGAGAGAAGCATAAAAAAGTGAAGGAAGAATTGAAGGGAGAAAAGAATAACGAACAGAAGGAAGAAAAATGAACAAAGAAAAATAAAAGACAAAGAAGGAAAGAAAGATGAATATTTAAGCACAAAAAAATAATATATAAAATTCTAAAAGGATATTAAATCCCGAAATTTGATATTTAGAAAATTTTTAAATTTAAAATTAAAATAATTATTTAGTTTTTCAAGTAAATGTAAAATGTAGAGATTTTTAAGAATGATAAATAAGAATTAAAACAAAGTTTCTCTTTGCTAGGGTGACGTGTTTAGTAAGCCTTTTATCGGTATCCTTTTATCGGTATCCTAGATTTCTCTCTCAGATTTACTGAAAATACATACATAAGCCCTATAAATAAATCCAACTCTCAGATATACTGAGAACATACCCTAAATAAATAATTTTTGATCTATCTTCTAAATATATACAAGCAACTGGCAATGGGGTAAGGGGCTAGGAAAAGGTCTGTCACTAAAGAGGTCTCTCAATAAGGAAGTCAATGTGAAATGAGTTGGGATTTATATACAAGAAAAAATGGGTGGAAAAGGGCACATGATGATAATGAAAAGGTAGATCCCAGGATTCATTCTCCAAACAAACGTACATACATAACCTTACCCTTTCTTTTTTCATTCCAGACATCTTCAATAAAAACAAAAATAAATGTTTGCAGAACTGGCTAAAGAAATAATTTGAAGTAGATAAATAAATCTAATGCCGTGGTTAAATAAAAAGCGTCTTGCATTTTGCGACAAAAAATAGCATTCAAAAGAAGGCGAGAAAAAATCACGTCTCTTCTTTGCCGCAAATCATTTTTTGCCGCAAAACGCAAGACGATTTCTCCAACATACTACGGTAACAAATAATTTTTCGAATAGAGTTAAAAAATAATCCGTAAGATTCTCTCACATTTTTGACATATCTGGATTCCGGAAAAAGTACAGAAAATACGAAAAGTTCGGTTCGGATATTTGTGGATTTCACCAACATACTACAACACTCCAAAACCTCACACCTTCACATAATTCCCCGACATCTCTAATAAAAGAAACCCGTACAACTCCCCCCCTCTCGTTCACAATTCCCCCCCCCTTCAATTGCCAGACAAATCTAATAAAAAACAAAACCCTTTAAAATATACTCATAGAAACCCATACCTTTCCTTCCCCCTCCCCACCCCTCCAACTCTCTCCCATTCACTAAAATTCAAATTAAAAAACAAACATAAAATCATTTAAATTTTTATTCTTTTATGCGCATTCTTTCAATTTTTTAAAAATTTTAATTTTTTTAATTAATTTTTTTGCGCCTTTTAAAAATCATGTGTAAAAAAAGCTACAATATTACAATACTAAAAACTACAAAAAAATTAAAAAAAAAGTATTTTGGCCGGCAAGCGAGAAAAAAATGTTCGCTAGGCCTGGCACTCAACCTTCACCCTCATCAAATCCTTTCTTAACATTTATTTGACTGGTTATCTGCTCAGTTTTCTTTTCATCCGCTGTTGCTCCTCCACGAAAATTATCAAAAAATTTTATGAGAACAATAGCGTGGTTTAATACTGGAAAATTGGTTGAAATGACTTTATTTCCGTAATGATCGAACCTCGCTAAAAGATACCGCATTAATACCAAATAATGAGGGATGTCTTTAATAGGGGGCATCGTCTAGGAGCCATCCAAATTTTGGCTGGCTCCATGAGCCATCCAAATTTGAGCCATCCAAAATTTGAGCCATCCCACCATGAGCCATCCAAATTTTCAAAAACGTCCCTTAAATAGAGGTGTATCTACTATTGGGAGTATCCTATATCGAGGTAAGTTTGTAATGAGGTGCGTCTTAAATAAGGGGCATCGCATAGGCAACTACTCTCACCCAGTGGAATTGTTAAAAAACGTCTCTTAAATAGAGGTGTGTCTACTATTGGGAGTATCTTATATCGAGGTTCGACTGTATAGTTCCCTTATTATTCTCTCACCATCTTCAGCATCCTTCACACATTTCTCCACTTGTATCCTCCCGGAATCTTTTACCCCATAAAGCTTAATAAATTCATCAGCAGTGTGTAATCTCTCAAAAGCTAGTGCTATTTTCTCTTCTAAATTTTCATTTGGCCCTTCAATATTTAAAATTCCCCACAAAACAAATTTTAACAAATGACGATTTAAACGTTGATTTTTTGAGTGTTTTCCGCTTTGTTTAATCTCTTGAATTGCATTTTCTATTTTTGAAATCTCTGTTTCATAGTCAGAAACCCTTTGTGCTTCGTCAAGTACAAGAACTAACTCTACAGCCAATTTTTCCAAAGTTTCTTGTGGTAATGGTAAGCTTTGTCTTAAAAACATAAATTTTTGTTGATAATGAAATGTAAATTTAAATCATAGCTGGAAGAAGAGTGGCCTCCCTCAAACATCTTCATAAGAATTGGTGAAATTATTTCGAGCGAATAGTTAGAAGTGAACAAGGTTTTTGATTGAAAAAAGGAAGCTATTCCAAGAAGAAGCTTATGATATGTAGTCGTAATCAATTATTCCATCCCTGTCCATCTTAGTGATTAAGAGCCTAGAAGTCTAACAAGCTCAAAAGATTATCTAAAAACCCAACTTACTCTTACCCCCCTTACAAATTAGAGAAACATTTATACTCACTCCCTTGATTAATCATCACCTGGAAATGGAATATAGAACTAGAGCCCATTATAACGGGGTACACTATATCTGAAGCATATACTCAAAATTTTCACAATTATACCTAGAAAGCATTTCAACAACAAAATTAGCATTGTATTCTTTTGACCAATCCACTGTTTTATTAATCACAAGCGAATTTCCACTAAAAATCTCAGATTTCATAATATGCTTTAACTCCTTTTCCCTTTCCTTTCTTAAATTTTTTAATGCTTCTTCTAACCAATTATCTTCCTTAATTTTAATAGAAGGCTGTTTATCAATATATATCTCCTTTTTATTTTTCACTTTTTTGTCATCAATTACTTTATATTTGTCTAACACGGAACCTGGCTGGAAATAAGAGGTTCGAAAATTGTTAAATTTGTTGAGTATTTTTGCTGCGCGGTTTAACACTGAAAGAGTGAATTTTAAAAAAACTATTACAGTCAAAAACTTCCATATAAGATACCCTCTAGAAACTGAAAGATTGTACCTTATAACAGGGTGTATCATAGATAGAAGGCTTAAATAGAGGAAAGCTCCTCACCCTCAACGGCCAACCAAATTCTTAAAACCGTCGCTAAATAGAGGTGGTATCTAATATTGGGGGTATCTTATATCGAGGTATGATTGTACTTATAACAAGGTCTATCATAAATAGAAGGCTTATTCTAGACTTGTTTCCCCCGGCCCTGTTATGTTGAGGATTCCATAAAGATTTAATTTAGAGGTACGACTAGCCAAGCTTTCCAGCTTTCCACTAAAAACAATTTCTAATCCTTACAAAAAGGTTTCTTAAAAAAGGTATGACTTATTCAGCTTCTCTCAATCCCCAGCCAACCAAATTTTAACGTCTCATAAATATCTGGTATCGGGGGTATCTATAATGAGGTACGACTAGCCAAGCTTCCCACTAAAAACAATTTCTAATCCTTACAATTTTTGCTATTTTCAACCCGAACTTCAAACTCAATTCTAGACTTGTTTTCTTCATGTAACAAATTAACAAAATCATTTGCTTTATTTAAACGTTCATATCCTTCTTTTAACCGTTCATCCACATTATCCCCCGGCGCTGAAATGTTAAGAATTCCATAAAGATTTAATTTTAACCAAAGGTGGTATAAACGTCCCTTTCCATCATTACATTTTTCTCGTTTATAATTCTCAGATTTTTCATCTTTTTTCTTCCCCTTCTTTTCTTCTTCATCCTGTTCATCCTTCACAAGTTCATTCTGCATCTTCCCCTTCTCTTCCCTTATCTTTTCATATTCCTCTTCTTCATCCTTTCCTCTCTTCATAACTTTATTCTTCATCTTTCCTTTCCCCATAGCCTTCCCCTCCTTCATGACTTGGTTCTTCATCATCTCTTTATCTTCCTTCATTTTCATCTCTTCCACCTCTAGTTCATCCTCCGTGACTTCATTTCTCACCTTCCATTCCTCTTCCGTCATTTTCATCATTTCTCCCTCATCTTTCTTTTCTTCATCATTTCCTTCCTTAACAACCTCATTCCCCATCTTCCCTTCCTCTTCCTTCATTTTCTTCTCCTCTTCATCCTCCAAAGCCCATTCGATTTCATTGATTGCCGTCTCGTATTCCATGACACGATTAATCTCATCAAGTACCAAAACCATATTCACAGCTTCTTCAGCCACTTCTACATGTTTCAACATTTTTGGAAGATTTTTAAACAGATTTTCAACAATTTCTTCGTTTAATTTTCCTGCCCAATCCAATAATGGCGGAGAAATCCAAATTTTTCCAGAAGAAAAACGAGCTTCTTGAGCCCTCTTAAATTTTGGACGTTCATCTCTTTTTTGTTTAATTTTAGCTTTTAAAAATTTCAAAAAATCTTCTTCTTCAAAGATTTTTACATTCTCTTCATTCTTCTTCTTTTCTTTAATCTTGTTCAAAGCTTTTTCAAGTTGTTCTTTCTTCAAAATTAACGGATTTGTTGACTCTAAAGGATATTTTGTTTCCTTCCAAATTTTTGACAGACTCTCTTCCTTTGTTTCTTTTAGTTGACTTTTAGATTCATCCGTCATTGTCAGTCGATGATTATTTTGATTAGAATTTGGCGGTTTGAGTTTTCGATGTTTCAAAAATTGAAGTCTTGGAGCTCCTAAGAAAACTTTGGTTTTACAAAATTTATCAAGTAACCCATCTTTATTAAACAGGCCAAACATATTAAATACGCTCGGATCCCGTTACAAGATACCTACAAACATGGGCCCAAACAGGGGGCTGAAAAATCATCTTATAATAGAAGTATGTTAAATAGAGTTTATCTTTTAGTCCCAATTGCTCAAGCCAACCAAATTTTAAAACCAGTTTTTCTTAAACTGATTTGGCTCTAATATTGGGTTAAGTATCTTAGAGGATACTTTAAAAAAGAAGTATCGCTTAGTCAACCCCCTCACCCCAGTGGCCAACTAAATTAGTCTCTTAAATAGAGGTGTCTCTAATATCGGAGGTATCCTATAATGATATCCTATGAGGTTCAATTGTACTAAAGTCTCCTAAAAACGTACGTATTGAAGTTAGACGAATTGCGTGTGTTGACAGAGGCGATGGTTGACTTCCCCCACCATCACCCTCCGAAAAACAACACAGAAATGCCAGTAAAAACAATGCCAATTTCATTCTTCCTTAGCGACAAATAAATTTTTGCTTCTCCCCTTCTTTTCCCCCTTGTCTTAGCTGTTTTTAATTTTTAAAATTAAAAAAAATTAATATTAAAATTTAAAAATATTTGCCCCCTTTTATGTCAATTAAACAGGAAATAATTGAATAATAATGTAGACATTCACATGAAAAAAAAATAAAATTATGAAAGAAAAGTAAAGTGCAATGCGTGATAAAAGAAATACAAAAGGAGTTGTCTGGATGTTTTATAATTAATAAAATGATGAAATTAGTTTCACACAATTGGGGTTATACCCTGGAGATGCCTGAGCTTTCGATGAAGCTCTTTACAGGCCCAGAACAAAAACACACGCTCAAAGATTTGTTGCATAGAGAAATAAAATAAACAAGGATTTAAAGGTCGGGACGGCACTTAAAAAAAGTAAGACAGTTTATCCCTAAAGAAGGTTGACTAACACTGACAAACATCAAACTAACACAAACCAAACACAAACAAAAATCAATCCAACCCGATTCTCAGACTTGGGAATTCCCTACATTTTTTGGGTCGGCACTCATATAATTGGAAATTTTTGATATCGGCTGGATCACCCTGATACAGACTGACAACTCAAAACCTTTTTGCAAGACTATTAATAACTTTGCTAATACACACAATAATTTCAAATACACATAAAAATTTGAAGTTAAAATCGCTAACAATTAAAAGGCTTTAAATGAAGGTATCAACCCGCCCCACCGACAATTTTATTTGGCAAAACCCCGCACGAACCCCGAAGGCTCTACCACGACAAACTACGATCACAAACACGCCCGACCCCAAGATTCGAGTTTTTATCCTACTTTAAACACGTCAAAAGATCCCCCCATTGTTTAAAAAAATAGAAAAGTCAATGAAAAATTCCAAAAAAAATATAGAATTGGGGGTATTTCAAATTAAAATCATAGAAAATTAAAATTATGAAAATTAAAAAAAACATAAAAAATTCAGTCAATTAAGTAAAACAATATAAACCCACAAATGCCATTGTCCTTGAATACAATCAAGTCATGTTCATGATCAAGTAACATATTGCTTTGGTGAAATTAAAATAGTTGTTGTTCTCTACATTGTTGTTTTTTTCAAAAATTAATTTAAAAGATTGATTTTTGTAGTCTTTTCAAACAACTGCAAATCAAAAAGAAAATTTATAATTAAAATAAATTTAAAAAAAAATAAAATATCAAAAGGAATTAAAATCCTTTTTAAATTGAGAAAAAAATTTTTTTCAAAAAAAAACAAATTTTTTTACACAAATTTTCAAAAATTAAAATTTCAAAATTGAGAACAAAAAAATTAAATTTCAAAAAAAAATATCCAAATAAATAGTTAAATAGAGAAGACGAAGAAATTAATTTTTAATTTTTCCAAATTTTCAATTTAAATTAAATTCAAGTTGTACTTCCAGCCATAGCAGCAGCTTGTTCCATAACAGCATCAGCTTCTTCTTCATTGTAAATATTATCAGCCATTTGCCAAATCTTTTGAAAAAAATTTTTTTTTAAAAACTTAGACACAATTATTAGAGTTTAAGGTTAGCGAAATGCCGGATCCGGTTCCCGGATTTTTATTTGTTCCGGATCAAAATCCGGGTTTTATCAAAATACCCGGATTACAGACCACCGAATCCGGTAAATACGGATCCGGTCCAGGTTTAAACACTTTTTAATTTCCACTGCGAAGCCAAAACGTGATGACTACCATGAACTAATAATTGGAGCTTAAAAATGTCCGTTAAAATGGGGGGGGGGGGGGGGGGGTCCTTAAACAGAGGGTATTACAATGACAGATTCATCCCATCAATTGAAGAATTTCGGCCCCGACCGAAAATGTGTTCTGGCGGGCCTGATCACCCTTACCCAATGACAACACAAATCTGAAAATGTCGCTTAAATAGAGGTGTATCTTATATGTATTGAGGGTATATTAAAACGAGGGTCGAAAGTACCAAAAAAATTTCCAAAATAAAAAATATCATCAAGATAACCTGCATAATATTGTCTTCAGAAACAGAACAAATAACCCAAGGCTCGTTTGGATTCCAAGAAAAGTCAGAAATTTTGGCTGTATGTCCACCGTGAATAAACAAAAGCTCTGAAAAATTAAAAAATTTTTTAAAAAAACTTTCAGAAATATTTTTCAAATAATTTCGAAAAAAATCCGTCATAAAAAAAACTCTGTCAAAAACAACAAAATTAGACCCAGTCATAAGTCCTTCAAACAATATGTCATTCAAAAAAGCCTGTCAAGCTGATTGGGAGACGAAAGACACCAAAATTAGGTCCCAGTCTCACCTATGAACCGAGATATAGAGTTAAAAATGGTTTAAGGTGCAAGACAACAAGCAACGCATGATTGTTGGTGTCAGGCCCGTAGCCAGGATTTTTTTTCGGGGGGGGGGGGGGGGGGGGGCAAGGGGGAAAAAATTTTTTGCGTCAAATTTGCGGCGCCGAAGGCGCCAAAAATTTTTATTTACAGCGCCGCAGGCAGAAATTTTGAGAATTTTAGATTTTAGAATTTTTTTCCCTTTTCCCCATTTCGGGGGGGGGGGGGGGGGGGGGGAATTCCCCCCCTGGCTACGGGCCTGGTTGGTGTCATTCGACTCATCAGCTCGACGAGCTATTTCAAATGAAATAACGTCTGTCTGAATCGGCTCCCGGGATTTATGACAGAATTTTACCAAAATTTCAAAAAAAAACCTGGTGGTCCATCCTCAGCATCCTCAGGTGTTTGTTCTTCTCCAATTTTACTCAAATCCCAAATATGTAAACGTCTATCAGTTCCTGAACTTGCCAAAATTGTTTCGTTATGAGGAGACCATTGAACTTGGAAAATTTCGTCTTTGTGCGATTCAAATGAATGAAGTTTTAATTTTAAATTGCGCAAATCCCATAAAGCGACAGTCTAAAAAATATTTGAAAAAAATTTTTTATTAAAAATTAACCGGGCTTTTGATATCTTTTGATCGCCCTACAAAGCAGGGCCGTCACGAGTTACCAAAATTTCAAAATATATCTCAAATTGGATTTGAAAAAATGGATTTTCGAGTTGACGCCTATTTATAACGTAGAAATCTTCCACTGATAAACTAGTTTACCGCAAGAGTCGAAAGCACCAAACCGAATTACTATGACTATTTTACAAACTCTGCGATAGACTGAGGACTAGCTGGACTCCCCAGTTTTGCCGTAGACCCCCGAACTTCAAGGTAAACCGAGGATTTGCTGGACAGCAAGACCCCTTTGAGTGGAACACTATCCCCGATTTTGTAAATTTATTTAAATAAAAAAAACCTTATCAGCAGAACCAGTTGCCAAAATAAATTCAGAATATGGATTAAATGACAAACAATTGACCTATAAAAAATTTAAAAAATTTTAAGGAAAAAACCTCAGCAGTATGTGCTTCAACAGTATGTTGAGGTCTTGTCGTGCTATTAGTACGAGTATCCCAAATCATTAATTTATGATCATCTCCAACTGAACCAAAAATAGCGTCGTGAAGAACATGCCTTAAAAATAAAATAAAAATTTGCGGACAAACAATCTTGCGGATTTTCTGGAATTCGAAGTTTGCGGACAATAATCTTGCGGATTATCTGCAAAATAATTTTGCGGACAAAAAAATTGCGGATTTTCTGCAAAATAAATTTGCGGATTATGTGAAAAATATTTTGCGGACAAACAATTTGCGGATTTTCTGCAATTAAAAATTTGCGGACAATACTCAATATGGATTATATGCAAAATAATTTTTCGGACAAAATATTGCGGATTTTCTACGAACAAAAATATGCAGACTTACATTTGCGGATTTTCTGCAAAATATTTTGCAGACAAAAATCTTGCGGAAAATCCGCAAAATAACTTTGCGGATTTTATAAAAACCAAATTTGCGGACAATAAACTTGGGGGTTATCTGCAAAATAATTTTGCGGACTTTCCGCAAAAAAATAACACAAAAAAATTAAAAACTCCCTAACCAAGCAACATCCTCCACAACAGCATTGTGCGCAGTAAAAATCGATTTTGCATCCAAAAAGTTTGCGTTTGCAGTAGTTGCCTGAATATCCCATAAACAAACTGTTGTATCATCCGAAGCACTTAATAAATGTCCGGGCAAGTTGATATTCCAACTTAAACCATAACCCTCTTTTGTATGACCACGAAGACGAAGTTGAGGTTTACAAATGTTAACTTCAGATTGTGGTGGATTTGAAGGATGCTAGAAAAATTTAAAAATAAATTTCGATAAGGGACAGGCAAAAACTACTGACTGAAAAAGAGGCCCACAACCCAAAACCTCCCCAAGAATTTTTATAAGGAAAAGCAAAAACTAACGAAAAGGAGGACCCAACCCACCCCTTAATTACTAAAAAAAAGACTCTCAAAGGGGCAAAAAAACAGAAAAAGACAAAAAGCAGACAAATGGCTCTCAAAGGTGGTAAAAGGGACACCCTAGTGCATCAAGAAGTGTGTGACTTGAGCCCCCTCAAAATGGGGAAAATGAAAAAATCATTGAAAGAAGGTAGGGAAAAATCCAATTTTATCGTCCTCTCGAAACGACTTCCCCTTCATGCTTCATCTTTGCATTTCAATTCTAATACTAGGAATATAACGGATTATGCAAAAGGTGAACAGGGTTTCGTGTCGATTTTTCGAAATGTTTTCCAGGGATCAGGTATCGGGTAACCTGAGACACCCCAGCTAGATACACCCTTGATTGCTAGCATTAATAAAATTTGAAGAGAACTACCCGCGAAATAAACCCAAAATTTAAAAACAAAAACCTTTGTATAATCAAAAATAAACACTTCAGCATTTGGAGATTTAGTCCCAATCAAAACTGGATTTTGAGGCATATAACGAGCCCGATTAACTTCTCCTTCATGATTCATTTTTATTTCGACGTCAATTTTGCCTGTAATTGAACCAAAACCGCCAAATTCACCCTAAACGTTAAAAAGGGAAATTAAAAAATTTTTAGTTAAAAAACCCTGTCAGTGTCATAACGTGAAGCATCAAATTGTGCATCTTCTGTAGGCAAAAGAAGTTTGGCAATTACCAAATGGTTTTGCTTAAAAAATTATTTTTTAGATTGAATATTGAGGAGAAAATGTAATGAATTTGGGGCAACGGCATAGCCAAGGAGGGAGGCCTCATTATACCTTTTGGCTTCAGGGCAATTTTTGGCATTATGGCGACATACGCAAAATCGGACCTCATTATATTGTAAGATAAACACAAATTGTAGCGCATAAATTGGAGGTATCTCTTTGGTAGCTCCCACACTCCTGTGGGCCAACCCAGTTAAAAAAATTTTAATAAGGGCATCTTTAGAGCTGCATCACACAGAGGCCCAGGCAGCTCTCTCAAATGCTAAGGTCAAGCAAAAAAAATTTTAAGACAGATTGTGAGGTTATTTTGTATCCTGCTGTCCCGATTCATGAAAATCAGGATTTATCATGTCGAAAAACCCCTTAAAGAAAAGATTGCCCGACTTCCCTCACAAAGAGGTCCGACGTTACAAAAATTATAAAGAAAAGAAAACCTGTTCATCAGATGTATGAGTCCCCAAAATCAAACGATGTGTAGTATAATCATCTCCATCCACACGTTTAACATCAGGTAACCATTGGACTGTAAGGCTAGGCCATTCAAGTGCGTGAGTCATAACCTTGAGAAAAAAATTTTTTAATGGAAAATATCAAAAGGCACCGGAATTGACAGAAAAGAGGAAAAGGTGCCACAAATAAGGCTATCTTTTGAACAATTATCATTTAGAGTAAAGGACGGGGAAAAAATGGAGTAGTTGACGTGATAGTACCAAAGCAAGGCCCAAAAATTTTTTCTAATAATATGTAGCCCAAGTAATAGGGGGTATTTCAGGGATGGGCTGGATTGAGAAAAGTCGGGTTGGGTTTCGTGTATGTCTTCAAATTTTCCTTGGATCAGATTTCGAGTCTGAAAGTCAGTCAGGCTTCCAAAATTTTATTCGGATTAGGTTTCGGGTCAGAAAAAGGCCGGGCTTCGGGTAACCTTGCCCATCCCTAGTGCATTCCAAATAGAAAACCTCTCCAGACCAAAATAAAAGACATCCCCTCCTCCTTATCTAACCCCAAAAATTATTTATTAAAAATACCATGTCATAAAGAAACGGACAATTTTTCTTCCAAATTTTATATTCTTCATTGATTATGCGTTCTTCCATTCCTTCATCTGCTACAGCAGCAGTTGTATTTGACGATGTCGCCATTTTTTAAATTAATTTCTAAAGATCTGAAACCAAAATTTAAAGAGTAGAATAAAAATAAAAAAGTATAAGCGCTAAAAACGCATAAATCAAAAGTTGGGATAAAATGTCACTCACTCCTTTTTATCGCAAAAAAAAATAAAAAAATAATTTTTGGACCAAAAAAATCATTCTAAAAAATCCGCAAAAAATTTGCGGATTTCCCATTCCGTCCGCAAAAAATTTGCGGATTTCCCATTCCGTCCGCAAAAAATTTGCGGATTTCCCATTCCGTCCGCAAAAATTTGCGGATTTTCAACTTCCCAAAAATTTTTTTGCGGATTTTTCCATTCTTTCAATTCTTTATTGCTGTTGTTGAACAGGCTGTGAATGTTGCTAAATTAGTTTAAAAATTCAAAAAATCCTTTTAAAATTAAACCTGTAAACGTTGCCTAACCCGCATATAAAAATGCCATTGAAGCAAAAGTTGATCCTCAATATAACGAGCATTGTCAGTTGATGCTATAGCTTCACGAAATTCGGCATGTTGTAAACATTCGAGTAAATATAGGCATTGAGGGTATTTGAGAGTTCTTTAAAATTAGAAAAAGATAATGAAATTTGTAGAGTAAAATTTTACGGATTCCTTTTCGGAATCTATTCCTATTTACGCCGTTCCCTTTTTACATTAGATACCGCTAAACCACCTCCCCCCCCTTTGCCCGCTAAAAAATTTTACATATAAACGTCAAGGAACCCAGCAAAGAAGGGGAGAAACCTACAAAAAATCAACGCCTTACAAGCTCATAAAATCAAATAATTTTTAAAATATAACATGAAAATAAATTTCCTCCCAAAAAGGTTTCCAATTTTACAAAATACTAAGTAAAAAACCTCGAATATGCTGGCCATTTAAAGTAGAGAAGGTATTTGAGATAATTCACAAAGTAATCCGCCTTGAAATAACCTTTTTGAGCCAAATCTGAAAGATTAAAATTTATTAAGCGTTTCTAAATAAATATTAAATGGTAAAAAATAATTTTTAATCAAAAATAAATTGTTAGCTTCAATGGGATTCGAACCCGGCAACTCTTTGGGGAAAAACTAAAAAATTATCCCACTACACCACAACATCAAAAATTTTCAATTTTATCAAAAACAAACCATTTTAGACGAAACAAAAAAATTTTAGCAACCATAGGATTCGAACCCTAGTCCTCGTTGGAGGTCAACAGAAAATTATCCCACTACACCAAAAACCCCAAACTCCCGAGTCTTAACAAAAAAACCTCACAATTTAAATAAGCCGGATTCGCTAATGCTTGAACAAATTCACATTCAATTTCAAAACGTTTTCTTGCCTCTTCAGCAGTCTCTTGTGACCTCATTCCTGTTGCAGCTGTTGTTGCGGGGATAGAAGACATTTGATCCAAATGAGTTTGTAGATGGGAAGGGAATTGATTGATATTTGTTGACGTCCCAGGCATTGAGGCAGCAATATTTAAGGATGTAGAAGTCATTAAATGTGGTGGTAGTTGTTGCTGATGCATTGCTAAAATTGAGTTTTAATTAGTGGGATGAAATGTCATCATTTAAAAAACCTCGATGAAAATCCATTTTTTAGAAAATATAACAAATTCTTTGAAATAAAGATTCTCTAAAATTAATTTTGAAACCTAAAAATAAATTTAAAAAAAATTAAATAAAATGTCCAAGTTCAGCAATGGATATTTTGAAAATATATTCTCGTAATTTTAAATATTTATAAATTAATAAATACAAAAAAATTTTAAGGGATAATTGAAATAGAGTTTGAAATTTCTAATTGATGGCCCGGTATCCTGGGAGGGGGTTCCCCTTTTAAATTAACATCCGGGATAAAACGGAAACCCTGAAAGCCTCTCGGATGATAGATGATATCCCAAAAAACCCGGTCTCGACCCTGGTTCGAACTCTAATTAAAAAATTCTCTGGGAGGGTAAAAAACTAGGGTAGCACCCAAGTCCCCCGACCAGACACCTAAGGAAAGTTTTGGTAAAAAATCCCGACCAGAACCCCGAAGGCTATACCCAGACAAACCCCAATCCCCGACGATCCCGCCCCCAAGGCTCGGGGTGGTGCCAGTTTGAACTTTCTAATTGCTGATCCGTATCTCGGGAGGGGGTTGCCTTTTAAACTTAGATCCGGGATAAACCGGAAGCCCAAAAGACTATCAAAAAAATCCGGTATCATACATACCAGCCTCTCGGATGTTATCCAAAAAAACCCGATCTCCTCTAGCTCAAACTCTAAGTTAAAAAATTTTCTGGGAGGGTAAAAACAAAAAATTCCTAAAATTCTCAAAACTAAAGTAACAAATTTCAACTAGAAAAGAAAGAAAAAAATGACTTAAAATTAAAACAACCAAAATATATATCAATCCAAATGTTTATTCAGCTCATTATATATAGCTAAGACTAAAGCTGCGCCAAAACTACGAATAGCATTAACAAAGAACCCGCTAAAAAATGCACGACCACCTTCTTTTTGATAAATTTGCTGCAAAAATAAAAAAATTTTTGATTAAAATTTTTTAAATTCCCAAATGGAAATAACCTTCAAAAAATCCGAAAAATCGAAAAAAAGCAAAAATAAAATTTTTTAGTGTAGTGGGAAAATGTTTGGTTTACATATAGCGAGGGCCCAAGGTTCGAACCTCACACAGGGAAAATTTTTTATTTATCAACACAATTTACAATTTACTCAACAAGTTAAAGTCAACCAAAAAAAATCCTTAACATAAAAAAATAGAAAAAAATAAAATTCCATGGTTTAGTGGGATAATGTTAGGTTTACAATGAAAAGAGTCCAAGGTCGAACCCCGCCCGGGTAAAAAATTTATTTTATTTTAATTGGCGAAAATAAGGACACCCAAGAAATCCCCAACATCACAAAAATAGAAAAAAAATTAAATTTCAGGTGTAGTGGGATAATGTTGGGTTTGCACAGGAAAGGGGTCCAAGGTTCGAACCTCATTCATGGAATAGAATTTTTTTATTTAGAAAACCTAATTTCCTCAAAATAGAAAAGTCTACTCAAGAAATCCCCAGCATAACAAAATAAACAAATATTCCATGCTTTAGTTGGAAAATGTTAGGTTTGCACAGGCAAAAGGCCAAGGTTCGAACCCCGCCCGGGGAAAAATTTTTTTATTCAAAATTTTAAATTATAAAAAACCTTAATACAATCCATAGCCCCTGTATATTCATGTAGATCCCTTCCAGACTGCATCATTAATCGTCGCCTAACTGTATCCAATGGATATGAAACTAAGGCGGCAACAAGTGCGGAGATCTTAAAAAATTTGAAAAAAAAAATTGAAAAAATTTTTTTTCAAAAAAAAACCTGTCCAAAAGCAAAAGCTGCAACGAAATGAACATCTTTACCAGAACTTGAACCCGATTTTGATGCAAAACCTTTTAAAGAATCAAATAATCCATAATATGCAGAACGATACAAGAAAATGTAAATCTGTGAAGTATAGAAGCCTCTGAAAAAATTTTTTTTTGAAAAATTTATTAGGTGAATTGGGATCACTATAAGATACTCTCAAACTGTAATCAAGAAGTTCGGAAAATTTGGTCGATTATAGGTTGAGAAGGGTAAGGCTACCTAAGCGATACCCCGATCAGGATAGAGTGCATTGAGTTTTGCGTCAAATTTTGGCCTTGCGTTGCGTTTTTTGAGATTGTCTCGCGCTCACCCCTAACCGCAATAAAATATAATAGGGTTAGACGCCATAAGCCCTTAAATGATATTGTCGAACCCGACATCGTCTAACAAGGAACCATCGTTTACTGTGACTGCGAATTTGGTATATTTTTTGGTACCATTCGATAGAGGATTCTCGACTTAGTATCGTGGCGTTATCCGTTTTCTTGCAAAATTAGTTTGGGCCGAGTTATGGCCGTTCAAAGTTTCATTCCATGGGAGTGGTTGAGTATAATGAAAAAAGCTAAAAGAAGCGCGCTGTTACTTTTTTCCACTCTCTCTGCTTTCCTCACATTGTCTTACAAAGAAGAAAAAAGAATGCAAGAGGCGCGAAGAAAAAAATAAGGGAGAAAAATTCAGACACTATAAATAAAGAGAAGGGGCGTGGCTTGGTTCTTTGAGGATGAAAAATAAGAGAGAAAATGTTTATTTACCCAATAACTTCAGACTCTAGCGTCTAACTTTGAACGGCCATAACTCGGCCCAAACTAATTTTGCAAGAAAACGGATAGCGCCACGATACTAAGTCGAGGATCCTCTATCGAATGGTACCAAAAAATATATCAAATTCGCAGTCACAGTAAACGATGGTTCCTTGTAAGACCAATCTATTTCTCTAACACCAATCCCGAAATTTTTAACCCTAAAAGTCTATCTTAAATGAGGTAATAAGTAATTTCTAAACAAAACCTATAAAGTCCTTCCAATCCGTCCTTTTTTGCAACTTTAATAAAACAATCAATTAAACCACGAAATTCTCTTGAAGCTTTATCCTTCCCCATATCAACGGCCAACCTTGTACGAGAAAAATCGAGTGGATAAATGAAGAGATATGTTCCCATTCCGGCTAAACCTCCAGCGAGCATATTGGCTTAAATTGAGAGAATTTGTAAAATTTTTATTTGAAGCTTGTTTTTGCGGATTAATTTTTGCGGACTTTCCGCATTATTTTATTGTCATATTTTACTGTCTAACAATAGTGGGCTTTAGCCCCAGAAGCCCCCCCCCCCTCTGGCTGTTGTTAGACAATAATGAATGAGTCCGAAGGGTAAACTGACAAGGAAACATAGTTTAATACGACTGCAAATTCAATATATTTTTGGTACCAATCATAAAAGGATCCCTCGACTTCCTCTTGGGAAAAGCAGATACTTAGACTGGCCATACCTCGACCCAAAGCCATTTTTCACAAAAATAGAGATCACTTCGCAATAGGAAGTTGAGGGTCCTTTATCAAATGGAACTGAAAAATGTATCAAATTCGTAGTCATAGTAAACGATGGTCCCTTGTGAGAGAAAAAACAGGGAGGAAATCCGCAAACTAGTCCAAATCCGCAAAAAATGTCCGCAAAAACAACATTTCGAATTTTACAAATACACAAAGTTACCTCCCAAAAACTTTTTATAATCAGTTGTTCGATGTTCATCATTTACCAAAATTTTTCTTAATACTTCTTTAAAAGCAATACCCACTGATTCCTATCAAAATAACAAAATTAGACTTTCCTTTCACAAAATTTTTTTAAAAAACCTGACTTGCTGCCCTACCCATATTTGACACATTACCACGCCAAAACGACAAAAATCCTTGTTCTTTGGGTAAACGAATTAGGCAATCAATCATTCCATTGTAACGCTTGCTTATTTGAATTGTGTGTTGGGATGTTTGTAGCTTTAAAAAGGAAAAAATTAGAAAGGTCACGAGGAATGAAGGAAAAGAAAAGCCTTCAAAGTCGGGACCCAAAGAATTTTGAGACAAAAATCATACCTCAGACATTGGATTGCCAGTTCATGGAAATCTTTGCCTATCCGGATCCGGGACTCTATTTCGTACTTTCTTTGTTTTTCCCATTTCCCTGACCATTTTGAACCTTCATTCTATCCTCAGTGTCCTTATCATCCCTCATCCATTTACATATTCCCCCTCAGGCCCGAAGCCATCCCCCCTTGCCCCCCCCCCCCGAAAAAAAATTCTTGCTACGGGCCTGTTCCCCCTAGAACCCTTAAGCCCCTACGTCAATAAAAAATTCCCCTAACAAAAAAATCAAAAAACCTGCAAAATTAACTTCACCCTCTCAATAGGCGCCATAATTGTCTTAGCAATGCATGCAGAAGCTGCACCAGCCCCAAAATCGGTTGCAAATTTTTTAACACTTCCAGGATGTCTGTACTTCAAAATTAAATAGCCATATTCAAAGGGAGTGTAAGAACGATCTGACACCATTTTTTGAAAACTAAAATGCTGAGAAAAAAATTTTTTTTTGATTAAAATATGGGTTCACCTCAAGGTACCACTAGGCCAATGTACCATCCGAACAATAACTACGTTCAAAAATTATTGAAGCCGAGGCGCCCTGGTATGTTTCGATTCAGCTTGTCGAGCAGAGATCAAGTTTTTTGAAATATTGGACCTGTTCCAAAAAAATTGGACCTGTTCCTGGACTCTGGGGTTTGATTTATTGACCTGGGCCGGATACTGGACCTGTAGTCCAGGAAAAGCCCAGGCTCAGGAAAAATCCAGGAAGGTCAAAAAATGCCTGGACTCGGGGTACAGGAAAAACTCAGGCCTTGGTCCAGGCCCAGTTCGATCACTATCGTCGAGGCGCATCGAACCATACCACGGCGTCTCGGATTTGATAATTTTGAACAAGTTATAGTACGATAGCTTGCGGTACCTTGGGGTGAACCCAAAAAAAATATAGGTAAATAAAAAAAATTTGAAAAATAAGGTGATAATAAACACAAAATATTCAAAAAAAATTTTTTTGAAAAAATAATTTAATTTAAAATAAATCAAAAAACAAAAAATTGAAATGAAAAACTTGGCCAAATTTTGAAAGAAAATTTAAGTATTTTAAATAAAAGAGAGAGATTTTTTTGAAGAAGTGAAGAGTTTATAGTTTAACCTTAAAGACACCCAAAACTCAAAAAAAAACAAAAGGGTGTATCCAGAAAAAAAATTTTTCTTAAACGAAAGAGGAGGGAATAAATTTGGCGGATAGTTGGAAATCTTCAGGTATCCGGATGCAGTATTCGAACCGAAATCTTCGGATATCCGGCCATTTTTCAGGTCAGGATATCCGGACCCGGCATCCTTAGGAAAGAAGGCATAGGGGCATCTTTGGCACGGCATTAATTTTCCAGACAAACAAAAAATCAGAAATGAAAAGCCGAAAAAAAAGAAAAATTTTCTTGGCCCCAGTCGAAGATTTTCAATTCTATTGTTTTCCCTATTTCGGGGAGGTGAAGGGAGGAGGTAGAAGATACGTCGTTTCATCCTTGTGGGTACGATTCACCTTGCCTATTCCTAAACGAGATTAGTCAAATAAAAATTGATTCTATTGGAAGGGATGGGGAGAGGGCTAGTCCATCCATCAACCAGCCCAGTCATCCGGATACACCCTTGCCTAGCTCAACAAAAAAATTTTTGCCCATAAAACCCCAAAAATTATTTAAAGAACCCCAAAATAAATTTAAAAAAAATAAAACTTGAAATCACTCAACAGTAACAGTTTCAACAGACATCTTTTCAACCTTTTCATCATCATTTTCAACACTTTTTGCAACAATTTTGGAATAATCAAAGCGAACTCCAGGCAAAACAAACCGTGAAAATTCTGGATGAACAGACTCATCAGGCAAATAGACGGTTGGGATCAATTGTCGCTTTTAAAATAGAAAAAAATTATTAAATAATAGGTTGAGCTCAACCCAGACGGCCAAATTCCTTTTGACCAAATAACCACGAAAATAAATTTACGAATGTCAACACAAAATATTTCGGCGGATAAAGGGAACTCAAGATTAAGCCTGTTGGCCTGCTCCCCTTTGCTTTATATGTATAACGGTTGACGAGAGCATTTTAATCTTAAGTCCCATAATCCCATCAAATCCATCTTAATCCACACAAAAACCTTTATCTACAAAAATATTCGGTGGATAAAGGATTTGGGCGATTAAGAAATAGTGGGAAAACGATAGACATAAGACAGAGATACCCTCGTGCAACTGTCAGATAACCGAAAAAGAGCGGCAACGTATTATTGATCTTGAGTCCCTTTTGTTCGCCCAAATATTTGACGTTGAATTTATCGGTCTTGCCACTCCGGGTAATTTGACCTTTTTGGGGTAGACCCCCGGGAGCGGACCCAAATAAAATTAAAAAACAAATCTTAAACAGACGCTCCTTTCTTTTAATTTCAGCTTTGTATTCCTCCGCTTTTTGTTCCAAACGTTGACGGCGTTGTTCGTGTTCTTTTTCATTTCCAGCAGACTTTCGCTTTTCAGTTTGATTTCCTTCATTTTTCTCATCATCCGATATTTTTATTGGTCTTTTAGGTTCACCTAAAATAAGAAATTGATAGAGTTTAGACAAGAATGGTCGGTGTAAAATTGAAGGGCGAAACTTATGGTTGGGTTCTTGGTTAGGTAATGGCTAACCGAAGAATTTGGCAAAACTGACCATAAGCATTATTTTTGAACACCTAAGGCTTTTTCAAGGTTCGGGGGGGGGGGGAGTTTTGGACCCGAAATCCATGATAACAATCGGTCTAGATCCAAACCAGGAATAATTTTAGTTGAGAAAAACGCGTCCGGGTATGTGCTGATTTTTCGAAAAAATTTTTTAGTTTATTCGGGTCGAAAAAACTTAGTTTCGAATAAACCAACCCCTTTCCTGCCCTACTCTAAAATTAAAAAAAATCTTCTAAACCTTCAACATCACAATTTTCATCCAAATCATCCCCTCCCTGAGAGCCTTCATCTGACGACAAATATCCGTGATCCACAAAGAAACCATCATCCTCCTCGTCAGAGTCCATTGGAACATCTTTCTAAAATACAAAAATTTAAATTTAATTTAAACCTCTTCCTCTTCATCAGATTTGCATTCATCTGCATCAGCAGGTTCCTCTTCCCAATCATCATCAGAATCGTATTCATAATTGAGGGTCTAAAAACAAATTTTTTTGAATATATGCCGTGATACAACAAGCTGCCCAGTTGCTAAACCTCTTCCCTATTCTCGGACCAATCTCACAAGTCAGGCCCGTAACCAGGGGGTAGGGGGGGGGGGGGGGGGGGGACCAGGATTTTATTTCCCCAAAAAATCCTGGTTACGGGCCTGAAGTCCTTTAAACAATCCTTACAGTTTTTCACAGTTTGGCATTTCGACTCTTTTGGAGGGGGATGAAATGTCCAAAAATAAAAATAAAGCTAAAACTGAAGGGAAAAGGTAAAAACAAACAAAAAATATTGTTTTGAACAGACAAGATAAATAAAAAAGAAAAATTCAGATAAATTTTTTTTATAAAATCTCAATAGAAATTTGATAAAATCATAAATAATCGATTATTTGAAGTTGAATTCATGTCGATCAACGACTGAGAAAATGCTGAAAAGAGCACTAATAAACAACTTGGAAAAATTTAGAAAAGGAGGGATGAAATGTCCAAAAAGAGAAAAATGAATTCCAAGGGTGAGGGGCAAAACTGCTCGGACAAAATACCGTCTGTGACATTAGAATAAAAAACACAGTACAAATTTTATCCAGTCTGAAGTTCCAAGAGATAGGAGCTTAAGCCCGAATACCCCGGATCCAGGCAGCTTGGAAAACCCTGAAAATGAACCCGAATCGCGGAGTACTCCAAGCGCATGTCCTATTCTTGACGGTATTTTGGCGGACGGTGTTTTGTCCCAACACCGAATCCAAAAACCTAACAAAATTTTTAAAAACATGCAAACCTTTTCACCTTTAGAAAAAGGCCTTCGTCCACAAATTGCTCTACTTCTGCGACGCCAAGTGCCATAGTAAGCAGGACGATAGTTATCATGAAAATGGTAATATTTTGCCTTCAATTTGTTGGTGACTCGTGCTGGAGTTTTAACACGTTTATTTTTGCATTGAGACAAATAATCGGGAAACTAGAAAAATAAATTTTTAGAAATTTTGAGAAAATTAGAAGAAACCTCGCAATGGACTTTGAGCAAATTTTCTCGTTCTTCAGTTGATAAAGGCTGAAAAAATGGAAAATAAGTCTTAAAAAGTGTACAAAAAATTTTAAACATGGAAAATTTGCTTCTCTTAGACTAATGTTAAGTAATTGTGAAGAAAAAATCAAAATAAAAAATTAATTTCCACAAGAGGGTTCGAACCCATGACCTATATTGAAGAGAATTTGAAACTATCCAACTTAACCAGACAGAGTCAAAATTCATTCCTATTTCAGATCCCGTACCTATAGGTCATACAATTTTAACCAGCTCAAAAAAATTAAAGATTGCCCAGGAGGGACTCGAACCAATGACCTATTGAAGAAACAAATTTAAAATCTATCCAACTTAACCAAAAAGCCCAAATATGAAAATTTATGGGACACGTCCAAGTAGGCGCGCGGCAATAACGGCGCAAAGCCATAACTAACTGGAAAATTTCTGGCCCTTATCAATTTTGGTACCATTTTCTTTAGCTCGATGAGAGGAATCGTTTAATACTAAATTTGGAAAGATTCGGAAATTTTAAAGCAAGTTATGGCTAGGCGCCGTTGTGGCCTCGCGCCGACGTGGGTTGTACCCTAAATTTATTTCCCGAGGTTCCAAAAATTTTTTTAAACTTTTCACAAACCTTCCTAGCCAGAATCGGCGCAATAGTCATTCCCTGTTTCAGCTGAAAAAGTGACGTAAACCTCGAAGTGTCAGGCATGCATTGGGGCAGAGTAGGCGGTGGAGCCGGTTTTTCGAGAGGTTTGAAGAAGCTCGTCAAGTTTGGCTGTTTTGGTTTCTTCTGCTCGTTTTTCTGTTCATTCTCCTTTTGAGGATCGATAAAAATCACGTCATTATTTTCCTCCTTCTTTTTTGAGGTTTTTGAAGTTTTGGGGGATTTGAGGGATTTGGAAGACCTTGAAGACTTTGCTGAAGATGTTTTTGGTGATTTTGGCATTTATCTGAAAAATAAAAGAAGTTGGAACAATTAAAAACAAAAAACAAGTTAAAAACAATTGAAAAAACCAAGGAAAACACCCATAAATTTTGGCTTGAATTTTTAAAAAATTTAAAAGTTGACAAAATGAAAGGCGCCATTTTAATATTTTTTTGAAACGAAAAGCGGAAATTAAAAATTTGAAAAGTTTGTTAAACAGTGTGATTATGGTTGGGGCCCAATCCGGCCCGGATAGAAAGATAGAGCCCGGCATTTAATTTTGGCCCGAAAAAGATTCGGTTGGGCCGGCCCAAAAAAGTGACTCGAAAAAATGCGGCCCGTAAAGACTATAGAAACATGGGGTACAGCCCAATTAGGCGCACGTCCAAGAAGGCGCAAATCCATAACTTGCTTCAAAATTTCCGAATCTTACCAAATTTAGTATTAAACGATTCCTCTCATCGAGCTGAAGAGAATGGTACCAAAATTGATAAAGGCCAGAAATTTTTTAACAAGTTATGGCTTTGCGCCGTTATGGCCGCGCGCCTAATTGGGCGTGTTCCGAAACATGAAACTAATTGTATATTATATCAAGGACTGGCAGTCCTTCATCAAATATATCCATGATTTTCCATGATTCCTTTTTAAAATTTTGTATAAATTCGGACAGTTAAAAAACTATAATTTTTGAGTAAGTAGAGCCTCTCGTTTTTCCTTTCAATTTCTTTATACAGTTTTTAATGTACTCTCGAACGAGCTATAGTCCACATAGTCTAATAGCTATAGTCCAAAATCCGAAAAGGTTTTTTCAAAAAAATTTTAAAAATTCTAATAAAAAATTTTTTTCAAAATTAGCCTTCCTTTTAAATAATTAATGCTCATTTGTGTTGTTTTCTCACCAAAACATTCCCTCCCTAACAAATAAGTGGCTAGTTTTTATCCTTTGGCACATCAATTTATATTTTTTAGTAAACAAAAGAAGATAAATGTGAGAGAATCGTAATTTTATTTTTTCCCGTTTTTTTCATTTTTTGCTTTGTTCCCGGGACTGAGCCGTTTTGGCGCGGGGCCGTCTTGGCGCGGGGCCGTTTTGGCGCGAGCTTATAAGATGGCGAGTTGGTTATCAAAAAGGATAAAATTTTGCAATGATAACTCTCGTACCTTTAACTAAGTTTTCCAAAAATTTCAGAATTTTTGAGCAAGAATTTTAGAAATTATGGCCAAAAATGGTGATTTTCTCAAAAATGCCTAATTTTTCGAAGTCTATCGACTATAACTTCAGAAATATTTGATGAAAAATTATGAAATTTCTGGAGGAGGTAGTCAAGGATGTTAAATAAATTTGAGAAAATTTTTATGAAGTTAGGTCTCGCCTAAGTGCCACATTTTTGTTTTCGCGCCAAAACGGCCCGGCGCCGAAACGACTTCAACCCTTTGTTCCCCCCCTTCCTTTCTTTTTTACCCATTTTCCCATTCATTCAATTTGGGATATACGCCATAGCATTCATGAATTTTGACAAAAAAGAAAAGAATAAAAATGCCAAAGGGTGGGGCAATTGCGTAAACAAGTAATAATGTTATTCTGAATGCGAAAATAAAAAAAAGGGAGGAAGAGCGCTTCTTCTCACACTTTTTTTTCTTTTTAATTTAGTACATGTATATTTTAACCACTTATTATTTAAATGTAATAAAGGGGGTTCTGATAGGTTCTGGTGTCTGAAAAATACCAGAATGAGACAATAATTAAGAATCGTGCTTTATAATTAGGTATATAGAATGTACAATAAGTGAAGCAGTAAAAGTCGTATAATACGAATGTAATAGAGCTTATTGACAAATTCGTATATCACATTTAAAATCTTATCTCATTTCTCTGCATTGATTTGTAATAAAATTCATTCATCTACCACATTGACAAATTGCATTTAAGTTGATTGTCTCACTGCCCAGATTCATCTGAAAAAAATTTCTTACTGACCCTTTTTAAATAACCTTAGTACTAAGATAAGTATCCGATACACAGCGAAAATGTTATCAGTCAACGCGGTAAACAATGCGGTTATCAGACAATGTTAAGCCAATTTATTCTGAAATAAAAATTTATTTATACCTAACCATTTACACTTAAGTAAACCTTTATACATGAACAAAACAGAAGAAAAGCGACCGATTAAAAGCGTAGCGAACTGGATTAATGAATTACAACAAGTGAATGAAAACAATGATTAAACCTAAAAGCTTTTATACTATACATATTTCTAATTTTACAAAAATTTTAAAGTTGACCACCTAATGCACCAAATATATAAACTACTTCAACTAATATCCTATCAACAACAAAAACACTTATTTATTTCCATTACTTGGCCATTTTTTAATATTTTTTCATTTTTTATATTTTCCCTAAAAATTACACTAACATCATCAGCCACCTTAACCGAACCCCTTTCGGTAGTAAAACAAGGCCTTTTATTATCAGAAATGGCCTCAGCATCATCAGCTATAGCTGATAATAAAAATGTTTTTTATGTAGACACCTCTATACCGCCAATTTTGGACGACGGGCCCTTTCGGTTTTGGCATGAAAAAAGAATGATAAGGTGATTAAAAATAGAAAAATGATAAAAAAATTTTCGGTACTTTTCCGCTAAACGACCGTAAAGTGAGTGCCAGCCGACATTTGAACCAGCGTACCAGCGACATGAGTACCAGCGACATTTGAACGGCTATAACTTTTTATTGCTTGATCCAATACAAATAAATTTTATATCATTCGAAAGCCCTCGATAAGCTCTATCTTTTATCCAATTGGTTGGATCTGCTCTGATCACTCGTTAAAAAGTTATAACCCGATAATAGTGAAAAACAACTATTTCTTGCACTTATCGGGTTACAACTTTTTAATGGGTGATCAGACCTGATCCAACCAATTGGATAAAAGATAGCGCATATCAAGGGCTTTCGAATGAAATAAAATTTATTTGTATGGGATCAAGCATTAAAAAGTTACATCAAATCAAAGTCGACAGGCACTCAGTTTCGGTTGCTTAACGAAAAAGTACCAAAAATTTTTATCATTTTATCAGAAAAATTTAAAAAAATATTAAAGGTGTATTTTTTGCATAAATTACGATGATTACAACAATTTGAGTACTTTTGGTTGTGAATTGGGGGAACATAGGGTACAGACCTGTTTGGGCAACTTTTGTTATATGCGTAGGTTAATCCTATTTTTCAGAAAAATTTTAAAGTTAAAACTTCTTTATGTACCGTATATGCTCGATTAATTACCCTCTCTCAAATACCCTCTCTCAAGTGCCTTCTCTCAGATACCCTCTCTATAAAAAGGCTGAAAAGTGTAACTATCAAGCACGCTGCTCAGAATAAGAGCTTATACCCCCGAGAAACCCCTGGAAAAGCAGCTTAGTTAATGTTCATTGAATATTATCGGGTAAGAGACGTCTGCTATCTGAGAGAGAGATGGGACCAGGGATGGGATTGATGGGTGATGGACCTGGGATTATCTGACTGGGGATGATCTGACTGCGATGATCTGATGATATGACCCTAAGATCTCTTTAGTACACCATCAATACCATTCTCTTAATCATAGTAGGCTTCTCTAATTAACGCATAGCTTATCAATTTGATTAAACCAAGTATTTGATCAAACAATAAAAAAATTTCGTAAATATTTTTTTACAAATTTCTCCTTAAATAGGACAGCACAAACGTCCAGAATATTTTCTCTATACAAGCGGGTGCATAAATTTAACGTCGAATGGGATGGCGGCAATTAGAAATAACATAGCAGTGTCCTTAACTAGTGAAGACGAAGAAGGAAATTTGGAATTAAATAGAAAAAAGCGTTTAAGGCTTTTAAATAAAAAACAAAAATATCAGAAACAACAACAAAATTTATTTAAAAATGATAAGAAAAATGGAAAAACAACACAATTGTGTGAGGTGATAATTTGGCTCTTGTCCAGTTCATGCGTCCCATGAAGATTTATGCGTCCCAAGAGAATTTATGAGTCCCATAAAAATTTATGCGTCCCAAAAATAATTTATGCGTCCCATAATAATTTATGCGTCCCGTAAAAATTTATGCGTCCCAAAAATAATTTATGCGTCCCATAATAATTTATGCGTCCCGTAAAAATTTATACATCCCAAAAATAATTTATGCGTCCCATGAAATGAATTGAAAAAATATTCAAAAATTAAAAAATAACATTTAACATTTACACTTACACACCGTGATTTGGATATCTGGATATCAGTGATTTGGATATCTGGATATTTTTGCTTTAAAGGTAACGATGAAATATCGGTTGATTAAGAGGATTTATGATTCAATTTATCCTTTGATCACTCTTAATCAACCAAAATCACCTAATCTGATAAATATTCATTATACCCTCACATTCATTTATCAAACCTTAATCCAATAATCAGTGATGCGGGGGTTCCGGTTCTGGAACCGGTGCAGTTCTGGTTCCGGATGTGGAACCGGCAAAGGTCTGGAAGCGGTTTGGAACCGGAACCGTGGAACCGGCAAAGGTCAAATATAAAGGAAAAATATTTTAGGGGGAGACTATTTTAGAGGGAGTACCAATTCAGGAGGGAATACTATTTTTCACCCCTCCTCCAAAGGGGAGTATTATTTAAGGGGGGGGGAGTACTAATTCAAGGGGGGTTAACAAAAAAGATGTTTCAATTTATTTCAAGGGACGCATAGATTTTTATGGGACGCATAAATTATTTTTGGGACGCATAGATTATTATGGGACGCATAAATTATTTTTGGGACTCATAAATTTTCATGGGACGCATAAACTTTTATGGGACTCATAAATCTTCATGGGACGCATAAATTTTCATGGGACGCATGAACTGGACAAGAGCCGATAATTTTTAGGGGGGTATTTGGACTGCGTGACCGAGTGGGGATTATTCGCTGTAACTTTGCGAAGAAAATTTGAATTTGGCAAAATTTGGTGTCATTCGATAGAGGAGAAATTTCCTACAAAATGAGACTAAAAGAAAAATTTTAGGTTCACTGAACAAAAAGTTGTGGTCAAAAGACTGTCAAAATATTTTCATAAGGGTAATATCACGGTTATTTCCGGCCTTACAACTCTTCAACGGATTAACTTTGAAAAATTATTTTGGTATCATTCGATAGAGAATTAAATTTGCTACAAGATAAGACTAAAATAAAAATTTTAGGTTCACTAGAAAAAAAGTTGTGGTCGAAAAACTGACGATTTTAGGAGAAAATGAGTCTTTAGGGGTAGTTCTTCGACCAAAAAATTCTTTTCAAAAAATCTTTATTTCTATTATTTTGCTCTATTTAGTAGCTAATTTTCTCCTCTATCAGATGATATGAAAAGTATCCAAAAACAATTTATCCTTTGAAGAGATATAGAGGATGGCGCGAACGCGGTTCACACCTAGGCGTCCCTTATTAGAATTAACTTTTTTATTAAAATTAAAAAAATTTCTTTTGATTTCAAGGTCGGTCAAAACGTAAATACTTGTATATGTACAAACCGTCATTTATGCAATAATGTATCAGTGGTTGAGCCTTATATAGAATTTTCTGATAATATTTTTACTGGGATTGATTTTGATGAATTGGCGCATTTTAGGTGGAAAGAAAATTTTTTGAAATTTTTTCTGATTTTAAAAAATCTCTAAAATTCCAGATTTTTATTGCCAAATGACCCAATTCTTAAAGAATTTGAAAATCAACGTAAAAATGTTTTGGGAGGAATTAATCGAGTAGGGGGAAATTATTTACTTGTGAGGGATGATATAAACAAATCTGTTAAAAATAATTATGATATTTTATATTTTTTTATAATTTATTATTTCTTAAATTTTGTGATATTAAAATTGTGTCATTAAATTTAAATTTAAAAAATTAATTTTGCGGTAATTTTGGATTTTTTGTCATTTTGGGATCTTTTGTCATTTTGTAAGAATATTATTTTTGCCTGTTTTTCGCCTATAACTTTTTTTTAAACTTGACCTTGGATTTTTATTATGGTCCTATTTTGTAGTAAATTTAATTCTCTATCGAAAGGTGCCAAAATTGTTCTTAACCATCAATCCATTGGGAAGTTATTAGGACGGAAATAATCGTCATGTTATCCTTGGAAAATCTCTGTCAGTTTTTTTGACCATAACTTTTTTAGACTCTACCTACAACTTTTTTTTAGTCTTATCTTGTAACAAATTTAATTCTCTATGGAATGATACCAAAATAATTTTTAGTGATAGATCCATACAAGAGTTATTAAAACTGAAATAACCTGTTTATCTACCATTCAGATTTTTTGGTAGTTTTTTGACTATAACCTTATTTAAGACTTTAAATAGAATTTGTTTTTAGTCTCATATTGTAGCAAATTTAATTCTCTATCGAACGTTATCAAAAAATTTTTTTAACGATCAATTCATCGAGGAGTTATAAAGTCGGAACTGAACCTACCTTTAACTCTCTAGAAGGGTTATTGCCAGTTTTTTGACTATAACGTTTTTAAAGCTAAACCTAAATTTTTTCTTTTAGTCTCATTTTGTAGCAAATTTAATTCTCTATCGAATGGTACAGAAATAATTTTTAAAGTCTAATTTATCGAAGAGTTATATAGCCTGAACTGAACCTACCTTTCACTCTTTAGAAGAGTTATTGTCAGTTTTTTGACTATAACTTTTCTGGAACTCAACCTAAAATTTTTGTTTTAGTCTTATCTTGTAGCAAATTTAATTCTCTATCGAATGATAACAAAATAATTTTCAACCATCAATCCTTCGAGGAGTTATAAAGCCAGAACTGAACCTACCTCTTACCTCTACAATTTAAAAATATTTTTTTTCTTCCTTCATATTTTCTTTTTTTTTCTTTCTGATAATCTTTTTTTCTGATAAAAATTTTATTTTTGGAATGGAATTAATTGCAGAGAATATTTTCAAGTAAAACTGATAAATTAGGGCGTGTTTATTGCAGAGAACTGACTGACATTCAACCACATTTTTGGGTGAACGACACTAATCGGTGAAGGAAAAAAGTAAAAAATGGGAAGGTTCCATCGTCCTCAAATCACTCCTCTCCCTTCATTTTTGCTGACTGACAATTTTATTTTTAATATTTTTTATGAGAGGAGTTCCCTTGATCGTTTAAAATTTTTTTGGTTAAAAATCACGTTGGAAGGAAAGGTTGTCACGTTTTTTCTTAATAAAAATAAATATATAAAACTTTTTCTGGTGTTAAATCACAAGCAGTTTTGACTAAAAAAGTGTTAAAATGTTTTAAACATTTTTTCTAGTCTTAAAAATTTAAAAATTAATTAATTTGCGGAATTGGGATTTTTTGTCGTCCTTTCGAAAAATTAAAAAAAAATTTTTTTTATTACTTTTTTTTTTAAATTAATTATCTGATGGTTTTTCCACTACCTTTAGGCTGATAAAAAATAAAAAAAAATAAAAAAAATTAAATGAAGACAGATCACATTAAAATTCGATTCTTGCTGTACTACATATGTACTTAATATCACTCATGACTTTATTTTTTATTTTTGTTTTTATTTTCTCTCCTT